GCTATTCAAGCAAGTACAACTGACCTTCTGTCTGACGAACAAACTTCTTCATACGCTGCATCGCCCCAGAGAGTTTGGTATCTGTATTGTCCACGCCGGCCTCAAGATCCCCTAACATCCTGCCCCATAATATTAGCACGAAACCGCAGCAAAGCGACAGAGACGCACTCGTTATGCTCCACTATTTCCTGGCCCATGAGCCCTGCTTGCTGTGCTAGCGTGCTTAAGGTTCCACTGATAGTGTCCATTGTCTGATCTTGCTCGCGCATGAGCATCATCTGCTCCTCCTGCGCCCAAGCCGCCTGATGGTCTTCGTTCTGTGCACGCTCTGATCGTGGAGATGTAGCGCTGGAAGAGTTTGCTGCAGTTGTTCGGCCGCCGTCAACCTCCGCGCGCATGTCCTACTTTTCCGGCGCCTGGGTCAACAAACTGGGGGGATAGGAAGATAAACACAGACGCACCTGTATCTCACGCCGCACACGCACAACGTAACGTCTACGCTCCATGACCTCTGCCTCGTCGAGACCAAACATTCGCGCGCCAGTGCTCTCCACGATCCTAAAGCACAGTCAGCCAAACCTGAAATCGGACGCGCGCAGCACTGTGCACGCACTTGACACTCTCCTCCAGATCCTCCAAGTCAGCGTCTAATCCTGCCAGGGTTGCTTTCAGCTAAGGCAGCGGCACTTCAGCACTATTCAGGTCTGGCACGCGTGTGATATGGTATGCCTACCTCATTGCGTGCCCAACCGAGCTCTTCACTGTCGTCTCGCGCCATGGTGCGAATGCGCAGAAACGATGCGCGCAGCGCAGCGGCTGTTTGTAGTGACGTCTGGATCTCCCGCTGCACGGCATGATACGGGTCCGTCGACATTGCGTCTAGGTCATGTAAAATCGCTCCAATGTGGTGAAGTTTGGTCCAGCGCCAGTTATATTGCTAGCTTGACTGCGTGCCGGCCGGCGGTAGCTATTGAATATGGGAAATCCACGTGCCCCAGTACCAAGCGCCCGCTGCCCAAGCGCTGCCCCTCATGATTCCATTTTGTTTCTTGCCACGTACAGCGTCGTTGACTGCCAGCCGCATTGCCCCACTGGTAAGAACGAGTCTCCAAACAGCTCTATAATGCTACATACCATTGATCCCCACCAATGAAGTAACAACCAAGGGTCTTGAGAGTTTACCGTAATCACGGCACCATGAGGACGACAATTTATGCTACGTGCCACCAAAGCGCCAGCCTCAGGGTTGCACGACCGCAAATTCGCTTTGTGGATTTGATGCCACAGTCTCTGCCATTTAATAACCTGTTCAGAAGCCACCAACTTCACTCCTTCCATCCTCCGCTCTGCCCATGACTTTGTCCCACTCTGTTGTCAATCCGCCGGGTGCAGCGTTGCCAGCTCTAGTGCTACCTCCGTCTCGCAGTCCATCAATACATCCTCGCACTCGCGCCGATGATCAGATGCTGGCAAGATTCTCGGGTGCCATGATTGACAGGCCCTCGACGGGCGAGCCATCAACGGGCGAGCCATCAACGGCGCAGCCCTTTCGTCAAAGCGTGCTTGGAACTAGCATCAAGGGTGCCCAACTTTTGTCGATGATTTCGAATAATCTGACGGGACAAAAATCGAGGCAATTTTCCTCGCGCTTGCTCCCTCCCCTGGGATCCCGTCGAACGATGTACCGCATGCGCGATGGTCCAGAGGTATGTCATGACGCTTTACGAAGCAAACTTCGCGTAGCACTATTTATATCGGCTTATTATCCAGGTAAATCAACCCATCATTGTTCGTCGTTTTGATCGAACAAACAAATGCTGGTTACCGCCATCCAAGGGCACTGTGCGCAAAAAACAGACCATAACTGGAGTAAGGGGCACATGTCATTTCTGGCGATACTGGACTTACATTTCTTGTAGGTATTAACGGTCTTTGAGTCGTATACGGTAGGGCTCATGAATGCCAATAATCGCGAATACACTCTCGACTTCAGCTCAATGCTCGGCGAGATCGCGAACAAGAAAGGCGAATTCCCTCAGTTGACCGCGCAGCAAGCCGCGAACAATGATTTGGCACATGTGAGTCGCTCTATTCGCTCCTGTATTTTCTGTCTATCCTGACGTACACCACGAAGGCGACCGTGTATGCTCAGCTTTCATATGGTTTTCGTCACCAATCCCGCTGCGCTTGGACACCCGCTCATGTCGTGGTACGTTGATGTCCATGTTCGCATCATCACGCGCGTCTTACTGAAATAAATCATTGATGAAGCGGGTCAGTGGTGATAAGTTTCTCATCCATCCACTTGTGGGTCCTATGAAGCACTTGGAGCTCAGCGTCAATCGTACCCGTGTACTTCCGTGGAACTCGAGCACTCTCCCTGCGCTGGTCAATGCCCGTCACGATGTTCTAGACGAATACGGGAACTTCATGCCACAACTGGGCTGAATTCCATCCTGCATCGCATTCTCTGAATCAATCTTCATGAATCGCTGCAACATTTGGGTCTGTGCAGCGCACGACTCATGCCACTCATTCCAATACTATCCTTAATACTCCGATATATCAAGGCTATCGTATGGTGACTCGTGTCTAATATTCTCCTACTGGCACATCTCGCGAATTTACACTCAATAACATAGTTACTGGCTTTAATCTTATCAATTTTAATCCTACTGCATGATGCATGAGCAGACCCTGGCGTCCGTTTAAGAATTAGATGGCACCACCATTCAAGTTTGAGTCTTTCAGGCCAATGCGGAACATGTGGGTCGGGGTAGAAGACCTGATAGATGGTAGAGAGAATTGATTAGAAAGGATTGATCAAACTTCCTTTTATCTAGAAAACATTAGCTTTGCTCCTCTGAAAAAGAAAATTGCGACTTTGGAGTCTGCGAGGTTTTTCAACAGGTCTTCAACATGTTGAACGTCCTCGGCAGTTGTACCACCCACGTGGAGAATAACTGTTTGCCACGACCACGCTGCAGTGTGCACAGCCTGCAATCTTCTGAGAATGTACCATGATGCATGCCACCATGCAGCAATAGCTTGTGGCATGGTCTATCTCGTCTAAGGGCATCTCATACCCGATCTTTGCTATGGCTACTTCAACAAATGCATTGGGGAAGAAAAAATACCGAGAGCCTCTCAACATCCCGGATAGCCTCAAGGCCTCCCTCGAGGTCAGCGTCATTGGTGGCACCAAAGCGACTTCAGGGATGCAAGCCCACAATACCCACAATGCCGGTTTGTGGCCTCAACGCCACAATCTTTGGTATATAAGAATGCTCTGCGTGCATTCACGCTCACCTCACACTGTGATCTCTTACTTCGAGCCTCTATTCACAAGTAATATCTCGTGCTGCAATGCCTCCTCTGCCTAGTCTCGCAAATCCTAGTCCTCAGAGGCCACTACCTCATCATCGCGATCGCAATGACGAACTTACGCTGGCCAGATTCTCGGGTGCCATGATCGATAGGCCTATGACTGCACCGCCTGCACCGCCTGCACCAGCCTCGATGGCTGCCGCGTCTAGCTCTGGGTCTCGTGAAGTGCCACGACTGCCAAGGAATCGCTTAATGTCGACTGCTTCCCGTAATTTTCCTACTCGCTTGCTGCCGCCGTTGGGATGTCATCCGACTCAATACCACATCGAGGATCCCCATAAGGTATGTCAATTTCTGGATGAACTATGAAAAATTACCAGCGCCTTGACCAGTTTTATCCAATAGTTTGGCGATAAAGTCAGGGTCCGTCGGTTTGATGTGAATCAGAAAAAATGGATACGATCGACTATACCGGTGTTTGGACATGTGACGAAGGTAGAGGTTATGTGCCCGGTTAGCAACATGTCTTGTTCTTTACTATCCGTGTGCAGCTAACTTATGAAGATCTTGTAGGCAATGACCAAATTTCATGTGTACACGATGGAAGTCCCTAAAGGCAGTCTCATGGGGAGCCGCACAGAGACCCAGAAATATTCATCTCTTGTTGGCGAAATAACGGACAAGAACGGGCGCTTCCCCGACATGACTGAGCAAGGAGCTGCCGATAACCTTCAAGCGCAGGTAAGCCATCTGTTGAACAACGCCGCAAATTTTGCTCTGACATTATCCATATATTCACTCATTGCAGTGGATGGTTTATGCTGCTATAAAATACCTCATCAACCACAATGAGGTGCCGCGCATAGCCTGGACGCCTGCGAGGATAGTGGTATGTACTCTCCTACAATATGAATCCGATCTTATACTCAAATTGCTCCCCGCGAAGCGGGTTGACGGGGCCAATATCGCAGTCAAGCCTCTTGTGGGCCCCTCCACGAATGTTGAACAGCGTATTGATCGCAGCCGAGTGCTTGCGTGGAACACGAGTACTCTTCCAGCACTGGAAAAATCCGGATATCAGGTAGTGAACGAAAACGGAGTCTTCACAGCATCTATATTGGATCCCGACTTGGCTCGTATCCCTCGTATCCCCCGCATCCGTCGTTAGATTTGTGCCATTCACTCATTGCTATCTACCAGCGTATCGCCCTTCTTCTTCTCCACTTTGCTTTCCATGAACCCCAGCTATCGTATCGTGATCTTTCTTTGTACATATACAACTCATTACGATTCTCCCGGACTTCTTATGCTTACAATTTACAACTTTAACCATATTAATCCCTTTATAATATCCCGTTTGACTTCGAGATTCTGAATGTTTTACTGTGTTGTGTGTGAGGGCAGGGTCTCATGTTAGCTTGCAGATAAGCATGGGAGTGGCGCGTCCCAGGTTTGTCTAAGCATATTATTGCTCGATTCCCTAGCAGCCTACCACTTCTACACAACTAACATTTAAAATACTTTCGAATGGTAGAATTTCAATGCATATGCTTGTGATCAGTCAATTTTACGGTTACAGCAATGTTGAGCAATGCAATCAAAATGTCACTGGTTTCAGACTTAATAAAATTGATCAGCACCCTCATAGCTAGCAGAGCTCGTCACAGCATATATCCTTCTTAGCTCAGTTGGTAGAGCGCAGCACTAGTAATGCTGAGGTCAGTCGTTCAAGTCGGCTAGAAGGAATCATTTTTGTCTGCTCGTGAGATTTTGCGTCTCACGTATACTGACAGCGTGATTGCCATTCCAATGCGGAACTTTCTGTTGAATTTTTGTTCAGAATTCGTCCCTTTAAAGTCGATCAGCTACAAGCGCACCTCGACAGAACTACAGACCCCAATCTGTTAAGAGATGATCATGAAATTGGGCGTCGTATGATTCGCTCGCGATCTGTCTTTCCTTTACCTGTTAATTTACAGTACTGGATACCAAAATACTCCATAGCAAGATCATAACGTCATCCGGTAATCGGTAAATGTCAGACGAAGCTGGCATTGTTGGATTAGCAAGTATAAATCCAGTCTATCGCAAATTGAGCCGAACGACCCATGCAAACTGAGTCGCGCCAATTAACGCCAGCGTAAAAATCGCTACTGCCCACGCATAGCCGCCAAGTAAATTATGTTCAACTGACAGAGCAAAGATAGAGCTGGAAGGATTTAACCTATGTTTCCACAAAATGATATTGAAGCGCACCTCATAACAGCGGGACTCAAGGCACGCGCGAGACACTGCGCGGATTGGACTACGCCCTGAATAACGACCTTGAATGAGACATACTGTTAGAATCAAGGGAAGTTACTGACATTACTCATCCCAAGCGACGCAGAGTTCAGGCAATTCTCTTTTATCAGGATCACACTGAAACTATTGCATTTTCAGTCAGCAGCCCCGCTCAAACTTAGCACAGGTACTCACCCAAAAGCCAAGTTTGCGAACCGGCACATCGCCAGTGCCACGGCAATACCTACCCAAACACATGCTGACGCGTGGGCGCTGAGCTCCCCGTTAGTCTCGTCAAAACCCCAGCGAGCGATGATGTTCAGCGCCGCCAGCAGAGGAAATATAAATGGGAACATCCAGAAGCAGAGGTTATACATCTTTGCTCTGTTGAAAGTCCGGATGAGATATGGCATAATCATCAGTTGCAGACCCAACGATATCGCGCCGGATACAGAAAGTGCGTATCCGATCTGGCCTGTCTGGATAAATGTGAGTTGGAATAGAACCCCGAGATCAATGTTGTCACAGACCGAAAGACCGAGTCCACCATCCAAGATGGAAGTATACGAGAACAGAGCAAAGATGACTTGAAACCCCGTGTTCATGAAGGACAACGAAAAGCCTGACGTGGAGAGTGAAAGAATAATTGGGTTTGAGAGCAGCTCCTTCAAATTGGACGGTTTGTCGGGCAAGTCGTCATTGACCTGGGCACTCAGATCCCGCTTTTTGGAATTTGGAGTTTTGCTGGGAAGAGTCTGGACGAATCAGGACGCGGTGGATGAGAAGCTGAATACGAGAACTTACTTCTTGCAGAATAAAATAGCCAATAAAAACTGCAAGTATTGTGAGCAGGCTCGATACCCCTCCCGGAAGAAAGAAGGGGTAGCGGCGCAGGAAATCGAAGTCGAGCCAAGGCATCTTTTCCGCAGGGTGGGCCAGACTACCTCCTAACATGGGTCTGTGACGATGATCAAATCAAAGGGGTGG